GACCCTCTCAGTCTGGCAGGGAACTGGGGAATCGCCACCTCCCCTGAGCAGCAATGGGTCACAGCCTAAGCGGGGTGTGAGTAGGTCACACTTGTGTGCCAGACAGTGTGCACTAGAACGGGACAGAGGGCCAGGCGGAGCACAAGCGGAGGAGCAGAGGGTGGGGTGTTCATTGCTGAGCTGTGGGATGAGGAGCAGGTCAGATGCTCCTGCACGGCCTGTCTACAGAGAGCAGGGGAGCATGAGGTAGCAAACGTGACAAGTCAAGGGCACTTCCTCCTCCGCCGAGCACCCCAAAGTATTACCCACAATGCCTCAGCAACGGTGAGCCCCTGTCAGACTCACTGACGGTGCAGGGTGCTGCAGCCTTTCCCTGTCACTCAGCTCAGTCCCTGGGCCCAGGCTGCCGAGGGGCCCTTCGGGAGACGCAGCCCGAGTCCCCTGGCACGCCGAACGGCTCTGCTTGTGAGCATGGAGCTGGCCGTGCTTCCAGGTGCCCCGTTCGGTCTGGATCACACCAGGAACTGGGCAGAGGGGGCAGTGCCAGCGGCCTGGCTCCTCTCTCTGCCAGCTTTCTGGCTGCTGCTGAGCTTCCCCTCCTGGCTGAAGGCAGGAGTGACAGCAAGTTTGGGGTTTCCCAGCCTGTTGCTCGCTGGCCCCCCTGGGCTGGGGGCGTGGCTCCGGCATGCATTTGGGGGCGAAGTCCAGCACGGGAAGACCTGGAGGCTCCCTGGATGGAGGTCCAGGCCTGGAAAAGCAGATGACGATTCAGGCGAGGGACAAGGGGGCCTGGCTGGGAGAGAGCTGCTCTGTTGTGGGAGAGATTTCCCCTGCTGGGGCCTGCCTGGTCCCGAAATCAGTCGGGTTTAATGGGGCTGTGAGCCCTGCGGATTGAGCCCATTCTGCTAATCCTGATGCCAGCGAGGTCACTAATAAAAACCTCCATCGACTTTAGTGGGAGCCGGGCCCATCGCTGAGCCTGGGGCCCAGGAGAGCACCTGCTGGCTGCATGCCTCGGACGCATGAGCAGGACTCGTGGCCAGCTGCACAAGCCATTCCCACACTCCCGTTATTGATCAAGTGAGAAAGGAAAACAAGAGGCGGAGGGAGGGGTTAGGCCCGGGACAGAGATTTACAGCCTGCACGTGGGGAAGTCTGCATCATGCCGAGGAAAGGAAAGTCCAGCGGCCCACAAGTGGCATTTATTTATTAAGACGAGGGCGGGTTTTGAGGGAGAGATTTATTGTGGAATCTGCCTGTAAAAGTGCTAGAAGTGAAACGTTGCTCAGAGCATGTGTGGTCTTCAGATCCTTTCCCCTCTCCGCTGAAACGAAGGCAGAGGCCATAAAACTGCCTTCCCGCCAGCTGGTCTTCATGAAGCCGCTGCTTGCGGCATTAACGTGCACGAGCGAGGCTGCTCCAGCCTAGAGCTGGTGACCCAGTCTGGCCATGCCTGGGACATGCTGTAGACAGGCACCATCCCCTCCCCCAGGGAAACGTGGCTCCTGGGGCGAAGCGAGAGCGTTCACACATTGCCTTTTCCCGAGGCGGGTGGGGGCTGGGATTCTCCCGCTCTGCTCTGGAGTTATTACGTCTCCACCCAGCCAGGAGCAGGCCTCCAAGTGGCGGTGACTAGACCCGCTCGCTCCGCTCCAGCCTGCGAGCTGCGCAGGCAGTGTGGCTCCCGCAGCAGAGAGGCCCCTCAGGCTAGCCAGCTGTGAGTGCCCCGGCAAGTGGGCAGGAGGGGTGGCTAGCCCAGGCGACACCGCTGCTTCTCTTGCACTGGCTGGCATCTATCTTCCTGCACCGGGAAGCAGCCTGCTGGTGGCTCTGTGGCCCTGTCACAGTGCCCACGGGGATTGCGTGGCGATGGCAGCTTGGCGCAGTCCCACAGCTGAGAAGTCAGGCTGACTCGATCAGTCCACGCTGTGACACGTCCCCTGTGCACTGCAGAAAATCTCCGGAGTCAAAGTACAAGAAAACTGATAAACGCTGGTCTCCATTGTGCTCCTTTCACCTTCTGAAATTGCAGTGGGTCATGCACAAGATGGGAATGAGCTCGTGGAGGTTCTTTCTCGCAGTAACCCTGACAACCTCCCTCATTACCGGCTCCCAAAGGAATATCTTTTTTGTGATGTAAAGGGAGTTAGAGCCATAAATCCTCATGGCCCAAGATGACAGAATGAGCCCTTGGAATCCCTAATTCCTTGTATATAATATGTCTAGCGTCTACATAACATTGATTTGCGATTTGCTGGGCATAATTGCTTCTGTTCAACATCACTGAGTTGTCTTCAGTACACATTGTTCTGCCATTTTTTACAAGCAATACAGGGACAAGTCCCAGAGCCTGCATGAATCTCAGCCAATCAGGCAGCTTTCTGTAACGGAATTAAGTAGCAGAAAGTAGAAAAGCTAATTGGTTCATATTGATCTTTTTCTTTGGTAATTTCAGTGGGGACTTTGGTGGAATCGTTAGACCTTGACTCTGAGCCATGTGTGTTCTGTGTTTTCTTCTTCTGGGGCTTGATTTTCCTCTGCTGCTTTAGCGGCGAAAGGCCAAGGCCTTTGGAACAGGATTGGTATTTAACCTCAGCTCTGCAAGAATGGGCAGGAAGCAGCTTCTGGGACAAAGGGAGTTTACTGGTCAGGAGGCGAAAATACCAGACTGTCCGGGCCAATACCGGACACCTGGCAACCCTGGGCGTCTCTGACAGCCCCCTCCAGCTGCGCAGTGGGGCTGGGAGAAACGGGCTGTTTTGGGCACCAGAAAGGGGGTGCTCTTTCTCAGCAGCGCGCGCCAATCATGCCCTGTTCCCGTGAGCAGGGGGCACCTCAGCGGGGAAGCACAGCAGGCCGGCGTATTGTGAGCGCACCGCGGCAGGAAGCTCCCGCCTGGAGAGCTCTTACCATGGCCACGTGGCTTGTGCTAGCACAGCCGGTGTGTCCTTGTACACAGGAGCTCGGCAGCTCCCCGGCAGATGGTTCTGTTGCTGCCAGCTATGCTCCAAGCCCGTACCCTCCTCTCCCGCCACCCCGCTGCCAGGCTGGGGCTGTGCGCTAACCCCCGGGACCGTGAGCGTTTAGCAGGAGATGGGAAGGCGCAGCCAGGGGGTCCCGTGCATGCTTGGGAGCCTCTCCCCTCGACCCAGGCCCCAGCGTGAGGGGGAGACCAAAGAAATGGAGCCTGAAAGTGGTGGAGACGCACATCTGCGGATGTTGCCCTTGCTGTGTGTGGGGGAGTGTTAATTCCCCTGAACAGGATCCCAGGTGCCCGCTGGGGTGGTGGCAGCAGGGAGCCAAACTCCAGGCATTTCTGGAACAGCCTGGTCCCTGACGCACTCAGGTAAAGAGACGACGCCTGCCACTTCAGACAGCACCTGCCACCCCTTACACATCCCCCTCAGCAGCAGTGGGCAGCTGGTGCCATCTCTTGGTGAAGGAAGGGAACGGGCTGGGGAGCAGGCACAAGAGAGGAGATGGGAGTGGGGAACCTGGCTGGGGGAGCAGCTCTCCGTGAGCCGAAGCAGGGAGGAAGCCGGGGCAGCTGTGGCTGTGGTGTTTTATTTTGCCTCTCTCCTGCTGCCTCTCCGCCAGAATCTTCCTCCGGTGGCAATCTCTCCAGGGCCTCTTGGTAAATACTTGCCAGTGGCTGACCCACTCCTCTTAAACACCCTTGGCCCTGTGGCCTCCAGCCCCCTCACAGCAAAGCGTCGAGCAGAGAGGGCAGCTTCTCCACATACCGAGCTGGTGCCGCTCTGTCCTGGCTAGCCTCATGGCTCTGAATTCAGCCTTCCTCTTTCTGCAGCCTCCAGGGGCACCACACAGCAGTCAGGAGAGATGGGACAAATTGGAGGAAGCCCAGAGAAGAGCAACAAAAAATAATTCGAGGTCTAGAAAACATGATCTGGGAGGGAAGATTGGAACAGCTGGGTGTTCAGTCTCCCTTTGGAGAAGGGAAGACCAAAGGGGGATGTGATACCAGTTTTCAAGTACAGAAAAGTTGGTTAGAAGGAGGAGGGAGGAAAATTGTTCTTAACCTCCGAGGACAGGAACGGAGCAAGGGGCTTAAATTGCAGCCATTTCAGTCTATTTGCAGCTCCTTCGTGGTCCTCCCTCTCTGGTCACTCAGCTCCAGTTACTGATTGTCCTTGGGCAGTTAGTGCTTCCTTCTTGGAGGAGATCTGTGTCTGTGCTGAGTCTGACAAACACGCTGGGTTTTGGGAACCAGTCGATGGCATCTGTGATCGTGTTCCCAGTGGGCTCCCCGGGCGTGTGAGCCTGCCTCGCTATGGCCACATCTCCACTTGCGGGAAGCTCCACGCTGCTAGGGATCTGTAGTTCGCATCAAAGGGGAATGGGACTCTTGATTTACTGTAACTCTGAATGAAAATTGTGCCGCTTGTAATCAATCTTAGTCGGACCCTGCCCACTCGCACTGCACAGCCAGGCTTCCGAGTGCTGAGACACCGCACAGCAGAGCTGCGGCGTGGTGTTAGCTTCTTTTAGCATGTATGTTTATTCTAACATGCCAGCATGAAACACGGCCATCTGCAGGAGAGTAAACGGAGGAACCAGCTGACCACTTGGGTGAAGCTGTTTCCATTCCCTGAACATCCCTCAAACCAAGTGCACCCGTGCGCCGGGTGATTGAGTCCAGACCCTGTTTATTTGGGCTGGAGAAAACACACTGACAGGTTCAAACAAATATTACAAGAAGGGAACTGATGGCTCAGGTCGAGTGGGGCTTCTTTCTACGGCTCTGATGGGAGGCTGTTTCTTCCCCAGCCTCCCGCATTCGGGCCTGGAGCTGTTACACAGCGGTACCGCCGTCTTCGGGACAACTGTCCTTTGCAGCCAGATTCCATTGGCGGGCTTCCAATCTGCCTTCAGAGACGGGCACTGCCGGCAATTGCTGTGACCAGACTTGGGGTTAAGTGTGACAGGCCTTCTTCCTTCTAATTCTAAATCTGTTCAACTCGTTTTGTCTCTGCCTGCAGAGCGCTCACTGGGAAGATGGAGTACCAGGCCTGCGCAAGACTCACGCCACCCTCAAGAGGTTAGTTTGGGGCAAGTTTGGCCTCTGTTCAGTCAGGTGTGGTTAGAGGATGCCTGCGAGAGTGTGGGACGGCTTATGGCATGAACAAAAGGCCTATTCCAGGACTGAGCGTCGGTGGAGCCAGGACGCTGGCTGGGGAGCTCAGATTTTGGGGCAAGTTTGGCCTCTGTTCAGTCAGGTGTGGTTAGAGGATGCCTGCGAGAGTGTGGGACGGCTTATGGCATGAACAAAAGGCCTATTCCAGGACTGAGCGTCGGTGGAGCCAGGACGCTGGCTGGGGAGCTCAGATTCTGACACAAGACGACCGGCCGTGTCTCTGGCTCTGTGCGCCGTGGCCCGT